TGTCTTTCAATAGTTGGTCCCTGTGTTCTTTAATTTCTGGTCTATTTCTCACTTTAATTCTTGAGTCATTGCCTCCAGCATCTCTTGGATGTAGTTTTTGTCTTCCATTCCTGCTTTGCTCCCATTGGGGCTCTCCCCTGGGTGGCTACTGGCTTTTGGGGGTAGCTTGCTATCCTGGGTGTTGATAAACCTTGTAATTTTTCTCTGTGATTTTCACATGGGGATTCAGGGATTATTGGAGACTAATTTGAAATTTTGTTTTGGTCAATATATGTCTGTTTTTGGTTGGTTGCTCTTTCTGGGTTGGCAGAGAGATTCTGTACCTGGTCTCAGTTATGTTGGGGGCCAACCTCCAGCTGCTGGTCTGAGCCCACGTAGGGCTCTCGGCTCTTTGCTGTAGATCACTGGCAGTTCCCACCTTAAGAAGGACTGAGCAGCCTAGACTGCTCCTGTTTAATCCTACAGGTGCTCTTGGTGAGATCGGGTGTGCTGGATGTACTGTTCCAGTTGCTGGAGTCTGCTATGGACTCCTGATGTTTTTTTTGTTGTTGTAGTTTTGTTTTTGTTTTTGTGTGTTTTTTTTGTTTTTCTTTGTTTTTTATTTTTGGTCAGTTGTGGGGTCTGAACTCAGGGCCTGGGTGCTGTCACTCAACTCTTCAGCTCCAGGCTGGCGCCCTACCTTTTGAGGCAAAGTACCACTTCTGGCTCTTTTGGCTTAGGTGGTGCTGAGGAATCAGATCCAGGGCCTCATGCACACAGGGCAAGCACTCTACCGCTGAGCCTCCTTACCAGCCTGAGCTCCTGACTATTATCAGGTGCTGGCAGCCTGTGTTGTCTAATTCCTGGTGTGGGATATATGTGTCAGGTTCTGGTGGGGTTTGGAATTCTGGTTCTCTTGCCCTGGACACCCATGTCTTTTGCTGTCACGGGCGTGATTCCAGGGGGTGAAATTCCCTATTTCCTTCCCCCCCTCTGCTGAGTTATATGCTCAGCTTCTGACTTCGATTGGGAGGAGTTGGTTGTGTTGCTCAGGCACCTGATCCCCAGGTCTGGTCCTGGCTCCTGCTCCCTGGCCTGGGGCACACCGGTTGGACCTGTGGTGCTGTGTATCCCACTTGGGTTATGCAGCCTGTAGTACAGAGTTCAAGTTTCTTCCACTGTTGGTTGCTGTGACGCATGGGCACTGTTCCTGGTTTGGGTATTTAAGCTCCCTACCAGGGGTGCTCTTGTTCTAGCCTGACTGGCTGGATGTGCTCCACAGGCTAGTGGAGCTCTCAAACAATTCCCAGTTTTAGTTGGTCCTGTAGTCCAGGTGTAGGAGTCTGGGTCAGGATCTAGGGGTTCCCACCAGCTCTGGTCTCCCTTGAGGGACACACTGTCCCCTGCGTGGTACTCACCCTGGAGCTACTTGTTGTTTCTGTGTGATGTAGGTCGCTGGTTGCTGCTGCAATCAGAGTTCAGTTGAGATGCTTGTGGGTTGGGCTGGGCAGTGGTGGCTCTGCCTGTTTCTCCTCTGTCTCTGCCTCTGTTGATGCTGTTCGGGTTGGCGCTGCGGGATGGACCACTCCTCGGGCATGGTCTGCTCACTGGCCTCCAGCTGAGGGGTGGCAGAGGGGTCTCCGTGCAGGTTCTGGGCCCTGGGGTTTGTCTCTGTTTGTGCTTTCCGGATCACCACCAGTAGCTTGCAGGTCTTCTGCTCTGGTGTTTTGTGAGCGATATGTGTCGAGAATGTGGCTTTTTAAGCTGTTGCTTTCAGGATTTGCCAGGGTTCCACTCCATTTTGAAGACGTAGTAAGATTCCATTGGGTGGAAGGCCCACATATTAATTGGGTTATTGGGACTCTGTGTCAGGAACTGTAAGTGTCCTTTGTATAAGCCGTGTAGCAGATGCATCATATCAGAGAGTTGTATCTGTGCAAGTGAGGGCAGGTGTAAGGTATAAGGTGTAAGACATGATGCTATCCCACACCAGGGATGAAGAAGTTTCAGGAACTTTCCTGCTCCAGGTAGCTTTGAACCATGATCCTCAGATCTCAGCCTCTTGGGTAGCTAGGATTACAGGCCACCAGCATCTGGCTCTTTTCTTTCCCTCTCCTAATCCTACCTCCATCCTGCCCTTGGTGTCTTCCCTTGTCACAGACCTTCCTCCATGCCTCCCTCCTCCATCCTGTCCCCTCACCCACACTGGCTTCCACTTCCAAACACAGCCAACACCTGCCACCACCACAGCTGAACCACCTGACATTCTTATGTGGACAGAGATGGGATGAGTGCCACGTTGTACACAGGAAGCCTCTTGTGGACTCTGTCTGCAGGACTTTTCTCCCAGAGCCTCTTACCTCTGCCTCCCCACCTGTCCTCATCCTGCCCACCTCCTGGCCCAGCTTGCACCCGGCTTGGGGCTTGTGTGAGCCTGTTCCCAGGGCAGCTCTCAATGGTCACCTGATTTAAGGCCAGCATCATGGACCATGGATATGGGTCACAGCACCACAGCCACAGCAATGATCACACCTCAAACACTCACAAGAGCCTGGAGCACAGAAGACATTCAACATTCAGGAAACGCAAGACTCAACCAAAACTGCAGTACTGAAGGCCACTTGGTTGGATAATTGTCATGGAACAAAAAACAACTCATAAGTGTTTGCATGGCTATCCAGGCACTGGACCCTGCTCCCTTCATGTAAAACAGTCCAACCCTGTGGAAGTCCCTTCCTGGTTCCTCCAAAAGAGGCAGTTAGCTGGGAGCCCGGTGGCTCACTCCTGTAATTTCAGCTACTCGGGAGGCTGAGATCTGAAGACCGTGGTTTGAAGCCAGCCTGGGCAGGACAGCCCATGAGGCTCTTCTCTCCTAGTAACCAGCAAAATTTGGATGCAGAGCTGTGGTTCAAGTAGTAGAGCACAACCTTGAGAGGAAAAAGCTGAGGGACAGCGTCTAGATCCTGAGTTCAAACCCCAGGGCCGGCACAAACATACAGAAAGTTTATCTGCATGAATACAAAGGAGTCAGACTCTTTCCACATAACTTACACAAAGATGAATAAACGAATGTTTATTGCATGACTTGCGGGCACAAAGGGAGATGTGTGAGAATTGTGAACCCTCAAACTAGGATGGCACCCTAGGACACCCCGACCCCTACCTCATGACACATACAAGTGCAATCTGAGGCGTGGATGTGACATTGCCAGCAGTTACCTACAGAGCCTTCTCCCCAAGCTGCAGGGTTATGGAGGACCCCACATTCCACCCAGCAAGCTCCCCTTTTGCATGGGGCCAAGCCTATAGCAGAAACCTGAGCTCCATGCGCCCTCTGGTGTCCACGTGGCTGAAGCAGCCAGCCATCCCCTGCAGTGGGGTTTGGCCAATAGGGGAATTCAAGTTATAGGGCACACCCTGCATCCAGGGGGCAGACTGGCTTTGAACTTGTGACTCTGCTGTCTGGTTCTCATGACTGATACCTGACACTAATTCTGTGTAACTCATTCCTGTGGTTTATTGTTTAGGGAATAATGACAAGGACAGAAAAAGGAATCTGTATACGCTCTGTAACATACCCAATTCGTGTGTGGGTGTGCGGGTCCCAGGGCCTTCCCCAGGATGCGGTAATTTCCTGCCAGTTCTGAGACTTTTCTGAGACAGTTCTGAGACCCTGGCCTTGCAGGGTCTGCCTCTGCGTTTCCTGGGAGGTGGGATGCCCAGGACTAACAGTCCTTCCAGAAAGGCTCAGGAGAGACAGGGACTGGGGTGGAGCCTTTATTCCAGCCTCTGCACACCCTGCCCACTGTCCTCATGATCTCTCTAAGCCATCTGTGTGGGCAGTGGGGCAGTGAATGTTACTATGATACCACAGCCTACCAAAGAGGAAGGAGCAATGAGGAAGAAGATGGGAAACATCTGGGGAACTAAGGCTTATGGGGGCAGGAATAGGGGGAGAGTGTAAAGACAGGGCCAGAGACAGGCCTAGGGTTGTTGATTTACAGGAGAAAAATAATAATAATAAAAGAGCTGGGCACCTGTGGCTCACACCTTCTAATCCCAACTATCTGGGGGCTGAGATCTGAGGATCGCAGTTCAAAACCAGCCCTGGCAGGAAAGTTCATAAGATGTTAATCTCCAATTAGCCAGAAGTGGGGCTGTGGTTCAAGTGAAGGAACATCCGCTTTCCGTGGAAAAGCTTAAGGGTGGTGTCCAGGCCTTGAGTCCAAACTGTAGGAGGAGCACAAAATGAAGAAGAATAAAAAAAGAAGAGGAAGAAGAAGAAGAAGGAAAAGAAGAAGCAGGAAAAGGAGGAAGTAAAGAAAAAAGAGGAAGATATGTCAAATTTGAATTTTAGATTACAAAAAAAACCCGTTTTTCAGCCTTAGTTCTCCAATCAATGTTGGAGGGTTTTTTTTTTTTTTTTGCCAGTCCTGGGGTTTGAACTCAGGGCCTAGACACTGTCCCTGAGCTTCTTTTGCTTAAGGCTAGGATTCTACCACTTGAGCCGCAGCATTACTCCTGGCTTTTTCAGTGTTTGTGGTGCTGAGGAATTGAACTCAGGGCTTCATGCTTGCTAGGCAAGCACTCTGCCACTGAGCCACCTTCCCAGCCAATCGTGTGGCAGTTATTCATATACCAAGAAAAAAATAGGAAGATTGAGCAGTTTTTTAAGTCTGAAAGTTCATTTAAGCACACACACAGAGGAGTTCTCTCTGCACCCCAGAGTCCCCTGCCCAGGGCCCAGGAGAGAGCCCCTTCCTTCCCCCAGCCCCAGCCAGGCCCAAAAGCTGGACACAGGCCTGGCGCCTCCCCTCCTTGCCCCGGAGGAGTCTGGGGAGGCCCAGATCCCCACATTCAAAGGCCCAGCAGACGTCCCAGCCCCCAGGAGATGGGCCCCTGGGCGAGGCCCCTGCCAGCCTTCGCCTCCCTAGCAGAAGTGTGCATCACGTGTGTCACCACAACTCAGTCTCCTGCACTTCCCTCCTGTCCCTGCTCTTATCGACTCAGAGCAGCTCAGGATGCAGCGTCTGAGCACACAGCTGTGCCTCTCCTTGCTGCTGCTGTCCTTGGGCGGTACGTGACCAAGAGCCGTGGGCAGCTGGGCTGGAATACGGCTGGGATGCTGACTGAACCCATCTATCTCCCCATAGGGTCCCAGGCTCAGGAATTGGGCTACAAGGTACAGGTGCAGAGCCAGGTGAAGGTGCAGGAAGGACTCTGGGTCCTCGTGCCCTGCTCCTTCTCCTACCCCAGCCAGGAGAAAGGTCCAGATTCCTCTCCAACTCATGGCTACTGGTTCACACAAGGAACTGACACAAACACCGGGGAACCCGTGGCTTCCACCAACCCAGCTCGACCCATACAAAGCTGGACTCAGGGTCGATTCCAGTTGCTGGGGGACCCCCACAGGAATGACTGCACCCTGTTCATCAGAGATGCCCAGAAAGAGGATGAGAAAAATTACTTCTTCTGGGTAGAGAAGGGAGAGAAGCTGAAATATAATTTCGTGATGGACATGTTCCGGCTGGAAGTGACAGGTGGGGTGTGTGGGGCCCGGGCTCCCAGGCTGGGGATGCAGGCAGGGTCTCCCGACCACAACCTGATCATGAGCATCTGGTCTCTTTCTCTCCCCCAGCCCTAACTCAGCCGCACATCTTCATTCCTGAGACACTGGAGCCTGGGCTGGCAGTGACCATCATCTGCATGGTTCCCTGTATCTCTCAGCAATGTGTGGCCCCTTCCATCTCCTCATCCTGGCCTGCCCTCTCCACCACTGAGAGCAGACCCCAGACCTCCTTCCTGTCAGCAATCAGCCTCACACCACGCCCGAGTGACCACGGAACCAAGCTCACCTGCCAAGCGGCCTTCAGAGCTGGCAACACTGTGGAGAACACTGTCTGGCTAAGCGTGGCCTGTGAGTCCCGGCTTTAGTTCTGGCCTGATAAAGCGTCCTGATGTGTATGTGGAAAAGCCTATCTGGGGGTCCCAGGAAAGGCATTAACCACAAGGCCCTGTGAGAAGGGGGCTGTGGTTGTGGAGACAGCACATCCTTCCTGAAGAGAGCCCACACCTTCTTGCAGGTGCCCCCAGAAACCTGGTGATCACCATTTTCCGTGACAATCCCCAAGGTGCGAGGTCCAGTGGCAGGGCTGGCTTGGCCCTGGAGAAGTGGAAAGCCCAGGGTAGGTGGAGGGGCTCAACTTGTTCTAAAGCCCTCAATCTCGGCCTCTTTTGGGGTCAGTGAGTATTTCTCTTCATCTCGCTCACTGCCAACTCTGTTTCTCTCTGTACATCTGTCTGTGTGTCTCTCTGCTGTTTCTGTCTCTGTTTTGCCCGCCCTGTCTCCCTCTAGAGTCCCAAGGAAACATGACCTGCATGGATGTCCGCAAAGGCCAGTTTCTGCAGCTGCTCTGCACTGTGGCTGGCCGGCCTCCCCCCAAGCTGACCTGGGTCTTGGGGAACCGAGTCCTCTTGAGGTCAAATGCCATGCACCCTGGAAACCTGGGGCTAGACCTGCCCGGGGTGAAGGTCAGGGATGCGTGGCGCTATGCGTGCCAAGCGGAGAATAGATTAGGCTCCCAGCACCACGCCCTGGATCTCTGTGTGCAATGTGAGTGGACCCAAAGTGGACAGGGGAGGGGCAGGGGAAGGGAAGAAGAGGGGAGAAGCCAGGGGAGGGCCAGGGCCCCACAGCTTCCAAGGCCCAGCAAGCCGAGGGCCTCGGTTTCTGTGTGAGGTGCAGGCAGAGGGAGCCCTGGCCATTGTGTCTCCATTGCAGACCCTCCGGAGGTGCTGACAGTGACCGCTTCTCAAGGAAACAGCACAGGTGACAGGGGACACAGGAAGCCAAGCCTCTCGTGTCCTTTACTGGTGATGATGACGCCCAACATCTTTCTCTCCCTCACCTAGAGCTGGAAATCTGCAGGAACGGCTCCTCCATCCATGTCCTGCAGGGACAAAGCCTGCGCCTGGTCTGGGTCACCCACAGCCACCCGCCGGCCACGTTGAGCTGGGCCCGGGGTTTGAAGATGCTGAGCCCCCCCCTTGCCTGCAGAGCCTGGGGTCCTGGAGTTGCCCGTGGTCGAGGCAGAACATGAAGGAGAATTCACCTGCCAGGCGCAGAACCCTCTGGTGACCTGCACATCTCCCTGAGCCTCTCTGTGCACTGTGAGTGGAGGGCAGTGCTGTCCGCTGCCCTCTGGAGGGAATAGTTGGCAGAGTCCCTGGTCAGCAGAGTCCCTGGTGTGTGGCAGACTGGGGAGGAAGAACAGGGGAGAAATTGAAGACTGGGATAAGAATGAAGCTCAGACACAGTGGAGGGATGGCAGCCTCATGCCTGCCGGATAACCTGACCTGGCTCTCCCACACAGATGAAGGCTCCATCTCTGCAGCTTTCTCCAAGGGGGCAGGCCTGGGCATCGGTGCCACGACTTTCCTTTTCCTCTGTCTCATTGTGCTCATGTGAGTTGGGGGAGGTCAAGGAGCCAGAGGTCAGGAGTCATGGGGTCAGGAACCTGGGAAGGGGAAGGGGCAGCAGTGCTTCCAGAATGGGTTTATTCCACAGTGTGAAGATGCTGAGGAAATCACAGCCTCATACAGAGACATGCAGAACCCAGGTCTCCCCGCACAGCACCGTCCTTGATAACAGCATCGTCAACCCTAAGGCCCGGGCTCCGGTAAGCGTGCGGCCCACCAGGCTGCTGATTCACTCTGGAGTCTAAATCAAGCCCCATGTCCTACTTTGTCTGGCACAGGGTTTTGCTATGTCATCTAGGATGGCTTCAAATTGGCCATCCTCCTGCCCCTCAGCCTTCTGAATGCACGGATTATAAGTGTGTGCCTCTCTGCTCCAGTCATCTTTAGAAACTTTGTGTGGGGTGTCCCTGACTCCCAAGGGACTAGTGGCATGCTTCCAGAGTGTGACTAGTGGCATGCTTCCAGAGCGTGTGCCTCTTGATTCCAGGAGGCTATAGTGACTGCTTGGGTTTTCTTCCATTCTCTATTATAGGTTGCAGGGAAGGAGGCTTTAAGTGGGGAGACAAGAAACAGGATGTGCTGCTCTCTGCCCACAATCAAAATCCTAAAACCAAGCTAGGCACAGTGGCTCACGTCTGTCATCCTGGCTCCTTGGCAGGCTAAGATTGAGAGAATGATGGTTCAAGGCTTGCCTGAGCATAAAGACCAGAGTTTGCTGGAACAGTAATGAAAGCAAAAGGGGCTGGGGGCGAGGCCAAACTGGTGGAGTACTTGCCTAGAAAATGAAAGGCCCACAATGGCCATTCCCACCCCAATCCACGCCCACCCTGGCCAGCTCTGTTGGCCACAAACCCAGTTCCCCGTACCTTTTGTTCCTTGGGGTGGGGATGGAAAGTAGACTCAGTGAGGGACTGGGTTTTTCTCCCAGCTGTGACCTCAGTGCCTAAGTTGTACCAGGCACCTGGTCAATGCCCAACTCTGGTAGGTGAATGAATGAATGAATGACTGAATGAATGAAGGGAGGTTATTGTTTCCATGGATGCAGAAAAAGAAGGCCAAGCCAAGCAGCCCTCCCAGGACCGCTTCTCCAGGTGCTGGTTCCCCAGAACCAAGGAAGAACGAGAAGGCCCACCTCAGCTGCTCCGAGCCCACATCACCCACACAAGGCCCAGACCCCGAGAGCTGCCCAGAAGAACTCCATTATGCTGCACTCAAATTCTCCCGGCCTCTGGAGACCCCGAAGCCCAGTGACCCTGAGGAGAATTACACAGAAATCCATTTCCACCGAAGGTCCCCTAGGGACCTAGACCTCAGCCAGGGAGCCAGGAGGAGGCAATAAAGAGGCTCAGAGCACCCACTGCAAAGTCTCTTTAGTCACATTTACAAATCCTTTCGGATGAGCTGGGCGCCTGTGGCTCATGCTTGTAATCCTAGCTACTCAGGAGGCTGAGATTGGAGGATCAGGGTTCCAAGCCTGGGCAGGAAAGTTCCTGAGACTCTTATGTCCCCTTAAATACCAAAAGGCTGGAAGTAGAGCTGTGGCTCAAGTGGTAGAGCACCAGCCTTGTTCAAAAGGGAGAGTGTCAGGCTCTGAGTTCAAATCCCAGTACAGGTACACACTCATAAATTCACACACACACATACACACACACACACACACACACACACACACACACACACATACACACACACTCTCACTCACAAACGAATTAGCTGCACAGACTATGGTTGGCCACCAGAATCCTGTATACATAGGAAAACAGAATTACAAGCCAGGTGCCAGTGACTCACACTTGTAATCCTAGCTACTCAGGAGGCTAAGATCTGAGCATTGCAGTTCAAATCCAGCCAGGGTAGGAAAGTTCATTAGAATCTAATCTTCAATTAGCTGGAATTGAGGCTGGGGGTCAATCCGCAGATTTCAATGAAAAAGCAGCAAAGCTGGTGTCCAAACTGTAGCACCAGAGCAAAATACAGAAGATTAAGCTGGCACCTGTGGTTCACACCTATCATCCTACCTACTCAGGACACTGATATCGGAGGATCCCTGTTCAAAGCCAGCCCAGGCAGGAAAGACATTTATCTGCAATTAGCCAACAGAAAAACAGAGGTGGAGCTGTGGCTTAGTGGTAGAGCACTCACATCGAGCTGAAGACCTCAGGAACAGCACCCAGGCCCAGAGTTCAAGTGACACAACTGACAAAATACAAGAAGAAGAAAAAAGAAAGAGGAGGAGAAATCGTAAGAAAAGAAGGAGGAGGAGGAGGAGGAAGGGGAAGAAGAAAAGAAAAAAGAAGAAAATATCAGGGACTGGGAAGGTGGCTCAGTGGTAGAGCGCTTGCCTTGCATACCTGAGGCCCTGGGTTCAATTCCCCAGCACCACATAAGCAAAAAGAAAAAAAGCCAGAATTGGGGCTGTGGCTCAAGTGGTAGAGGGCTAGCCTTGAGCTGAAGAGCTGAGGGACAAAGCCCAGGCCCAGAGATCATGCTCTCCCTACCTGACCGCCCCCACCCCCCAAAAAAAAAAGAAAAAAAGAAGAAGAAGAAGATATCTAGTTAAGGTTGAATATTAGAAAAAATTTCTCAATATAATTTCTCCAATATTAGAGCTATTCTTTTTGTTTGTTTGTTTGTTTGTTTGACAGCTAGCTCTCTAGCACTTGAGCCACAGCGCCAAGTCTGGCTTTGATTTGCTTATGTGGTGTTGAGGAGTTGAACCCAGGGCTTCATGCATGCAAGGCAGCCACACTACCATTGAGCCACCTTCCCAGCCCTGGTGCTATTCGTATACCAAGAAAAAAACAGAAAGATTACTCATATACATTTACTCTACAAGTCCATTTAAGCACCTCCACCCCTTACCACCAGGAGTGTTTCCTCTCCACCTAAGGGCCCCACCAAAAAAGCCCCCGACATTGACTTTAATTTCTTCTTCCTTAGTGATCCAGAGCCCAGGGGAGAGCCCCTTCCTCTCCTCTCCCACGCCAGCCAGGCCCCAAAGCCGGACACAGGCCTTCCACCATCCCTCCTTGCCCCAGAGTTGTCTGTGGAGGCCCAGCTCCCCACATTCAAAGGCCCAGCAGAGGCCCAGCCCCCAGCAGATGGTCTCTTGGGAGATGCCCTTGCCAGCCTCGGCCTCCCCAACAGCAGTGTGCATCACCCATGTGACCCTACAGAGAGAGATGTAGGGTGCCATGCAAGTCTACAGTGCCTATAAACACTGGGGTGAGCAGAGGGTTCTGTCCCATGATGTGCAGTCCTCTTCAGAGAAGGGGCCAGTGGCCTCCCAGGCTGTGCTGGGCCTTGGCTCATCCTCCCAGTACCTGGGAGGCCACAGCCAGACCTTGGGCTCGAGGACCATGGTACCCCCTGCCCAGGTGTCCACCTGGGTCTGTGGATGTCCCTGGCCAATGGAGCTTCATGGCTCTGGTTCCATTGTATCAGTAGAAATGGGCAGTGAGCAGTCTTGTGTCTAACTGTGTGTGTACATGTTTGGACGTGTGTGTGTGTGTGTGTGTGTGTGTGTGTGTATTGATGAGATTAACTCTTCAATATAACTAGATCCTGGCTCCGGTGGCTCATGCCTCTAATCCTAGCTACTCAAGAGGCTGAGATCTGAGGATCGTGGTTCAAAGCCAGCCTGGGCAGAAAAGTCTCTGAGGATCTTATCTCCAATGAACCACCAGAAAACTGGAAGTGGTGCTGTGGCTCAAGTGGTAGAGTGTTCTGCTTCAGCTGAGGAACTAAGGGACAGCACCCAGGCCCAGAGTTTTGTATATATGTATATGTACACACACAAACATATATGTATATATATAAAACCTACCTATATATACATATATATGTATTATATATATATATGTATCTATATTATATATATGTATATACGTCATATATATATACATCTATGTTATTCCTTCTTTATATTGTGGGGAATCTATCACGTGGTTCTTGGGGGCACAATATTTGTCGTTGGTTCTGTTTTGTTTCACTTTTGGTAATTCGTTTGGCCCTGGATCAACAGATCACAAGCACTGAATGACACCTTTGACCTTGGACAGTCTCAGGTCAAATTTGCAATCCCTGGGTCATTTTCAATGTACATCTGCATATTTTTTATATTGGAAATCAATTCATGTAACATTAATTCTTAACTACCTACTTTAACATATGCAGTGATTTGGTTTTTCCTACATTTGTAATAGTGTGCAACCATCACCACGATGAAATCCAGACCAAGGCCACCTCCCAAACCCACCCCCTGCCCTGATGCTGCCACAGATGCCCTGTCCCCCAAGGCAGTCACGGAGACTCTGCTCCCCTCATGTTTTCCTTTCTTCTCTGTGGGTTTGCCCATTCAGTACTTGGCACACACATGGAACCCTCCAGAATGTGGCTTTTTTGTTGTTGTTGTTGGTTGTGGGGCTTGAACTCTGGGCCTGGGCCCTGTCCCTCAGTTCTTCAGCTCAAGGGGAGCACTCTACCACTTGAACCATAGTACTACTTCTGGTTTTCTGAGTGGTTTTATTGGAGATTAGAGTCTCATGGGCTTTCCTGCCTGGGTTGGCTTTGAACCACGATCCTCAGATCTCAATCTCCTGAGTAGCTAGGATTATACTCGCACCAGGCAAATATGTAGCTTTATTTTTCCTTCAAATTCTTTATTGTGATTAAGTTATTACATAATTCCCCAAATTTCACAGTATTGCGGGATGCTTAGTGAAAGTCACAAACATATTCTAACTTTCATGGGGCAAATTGTCTACCGTGGTCTATAACATTTATGTGTTCTATGAGCTTATCAATACAGTTATTTCTTCCACAAGGGGTGTTATGTACATTTCTTTTGTTTTGCACAGCATCAGCTGTTCCCTCGTTCCCACTTGTTCCCTCCCTCCCATTACTGCCATTGAGATGCTTAGTTCATTTTGATCAATGTGCCGTGCAGCTGATGGGTCCCGCTGTTGTATGTTTTTCCCTGATTCCCTCTAGTTCTGTGTCTTCTTCCTGGTTTCCCTCTGGTGTGCACAAATATAGCATATATTTGATCAGCAGCATGGGGTTATTTGGTAATGATTTGACCAGATGAGTTGAAGTCCTTTGTATCTTAAGCCTTGCTAATTTTGTCATATCATCTTAGGTTTTGGATTTAAAATCCATTTATCAGGGAGGCCATGTGCCATTTGTCTCTTTGCTCTTGGCTTACCTTCCTCAACATGATTTCTTCTAGCTCCATCCATTTCCCTGCAAATGTCATTATTTTGTCCTTTCTAATGGCTGCATAATATACCATTGTGTATAGATACCACAATTTCTGGATCCATTCATCTGTGGTGGGCATCTGGGTTGTTTCCATATCCTGGCTATTGTGAACAGTGCTGCAATAAACATGGAGGCCCATGTGTCCGTTGTTCAGGATAGATGCTTAGAAGTGGTATGACTGGGTCATAAGGGAGGTCAATATTTAGCTTTCTGAGGACCCTCCAGATTGCTTTCCAAAGTTGTTGTATAAGTGTACAATCCCACCAGCAGAGAATAGGATTCTTCTCTCTCCACATACCCTCCAGCATTTGTCGTTGGCTGACTGGAGGATGTGGGCCAATCTGACTGGGGTAAGGTGGTATCTCAGGGTTGTCTTTATTTGCATTTCCTTCACAACCAGGGATGGTGAACATTTCCTCATGTGTTTCTTTGCCATTTTTATCTCTTCTTCTGAGGAGTCTCTCTTTAGTTCCTTTCCCATTTAGTAATTGGTTTGTTAGGTTTGGGAGGGATTAGTTTCTTGAGGTCCCTGTATATACTAGATATTAACCCCTTCTCTGATATATTGCTGGTAAATACTTTTTCCCAGTTAGTTGGTTGTCATTCTTGCTTGGTTGCTATGACTTTAGCTGTGCAGAAACTTTTTATTTTAAGGTAGCCCCATTTGTCAAGTCTCTCCCATTTTTTGTGACCCTGGGACTCTGTTCAGGAAGTTCTTGCCTGTGCCTATAAGTTCAAGTGTCTCTCCTAGTCTGTCCTGCAGTAATTTCAGAGATTCAGGTTTGATGTTAAGGTCTTTAATCCATTTTGAGTTGATGTTGGTGCATGG